AATCTTTCAAACCTTTCCTCTTTCAAATCATGGAGACATCAGAAAGATATCATTGGCCACATGTGGGCTAACTGCTAAAAAATCTCCCTGTTCCTCACCAACACACACACAGACACACCTCCATGCACACACGGGCAGAGGAAAGCGGGGCTCTGCCTCCCATGAACGGGTTGAGAACTGTGCAGACACCAGACAAACATGAACACAGAGGGAGCTGTGTACAACTAATTACACTGAAACACTGCAGACACTCAGTGTGAAACCCGTAGGCCTAACGCATCCCCACAGCCAGACCCTAGCGTCACAGGTAACACAGCCAGCGCTTGCCCCACAGCAGCAACCAACTATAGGATCACAACCACGTACAACTGGCCACCCTGAGGCACATCCACCTGCACTCATAAATACACCACGGGCTCAGAGATGTCCTCAAGTGAGGGGCTTGTGGGATGGTCAGAGCCATCCCGAAGGTGAGATATGGAGCATCATAATCCTGTCCGGTCTTTCCAGTACCTTACTTTAGCTGGCGTGAGCCCTGTCCCACAGTGCTTGTTTTACTGTGGATGTACCAAACTTATCTCACCTGTTTCTGATTTGAAATGGGCTGAAATATTGCAGCAGGTTCACCCTGGTTGCTACACAGCATGGGAAGGCCAGTAATTGCAGTCTCAGAGAAAATGTCAGCATTGCGTGAGCTGCAGCTTGGCCAAAACAGCAGAAATGTCTCCCTCCAACCTCCGCCTCTGAGCTGCTGGTGGTGAGGATCATGGATCTGTCTCCAGCAGGAAAACCTCTCTCTTGCCCTTTCTCAGCTGAGACAGGAGGACTGGCTCTGCCTAGAGCTTGCGAGTGCCCCACTGCTTGGGTTTCCCCTCTCCCTCTTGTGACCCAGAGTATAAATCCTGCTTAGAGCAGGAAATACACCCTGATCACAGCCTCAGAGCTGGTTTGGAGCAGGATGTAGTCTCGAGAAGGGGCAGCTGTCATTCAAAGGCTGCGTTTAGTGTCAGGACTCCCAAAGGGATTCACCTGGCTCTGCGTCCATAGGACCTCAAATGAGTCACTCTGGGCAGCACAAATTGGAGCAGATAAACTGCGTGTGATGTGGCCACTGCCTGATTTGTGTGTGTGTGCTTGATCTGTGATGATCCGTCAGCCCGTGCCTTTCTCCACCAGCCACCCCTCTTAGACGTGGTCTCGTCTGCTGAGGTGCCTTGGGCAGATCTGCTTCCCAAAATCCCAGCTGCATCTGGCAGTGGTGAGATGGAGAATCAATGTTTGCTTGGAGGTGAAGCAGGGAAATGCTAATGGCGTTGTTTCTCCCATTCCTTTGCTCAGTTGTATTGTTAATTATGAAGCTTTGTACGTTGCATTCTGGAATTGTCATGCTCTCGTCAGCGTGGATGCTCTGAGCGCTGTAATAAGTCATTTCTCCCGGCTGTCCCTGCTAACCTTTCTCCTCTGTGTTGTTAATGGGAAAGAAGCTGGGCTCAACCACAGCATGTTAATAGTTTGCAAGAGAGCTGGCTCAGAGCAGGGGAGCTGGTGGGAAAAGGGAATGGGAAAAGTGGTTTGAGGAGCTGCATGGGTGCTCAGAATTAAAATCCTGGTGAAAGCGAAAACAGAGGTGCTGGAGGATGGGAAAGGTGTGTTCCTGCTTTTGTCAGAAGGGTTAAAAAAATACAATCAACATCCCAAAGCCAGTCAGGAGACACTACACGTGTTTCTTTCCAATAGCTGCAGGCCTTTGGGGTAATGAATTCAAAGAGTCTCAGTGCTATCCCCTAAGGGACACTATGTCTGCTTGCTAAACCTCTGCACTTGCTACTCTTTGTTCTGACAAATACCAAGCCTCGAAGAACAAGCAAAGCTTTGGATCAAAGTGCCTGTGGGAAGCAGGGGGCCCAGGGAATAGGGTGGCTTGCAGCGTTTTAACTGGGGATAAAGGAGGAGTGCAGCCCACAGCAGAAAGGTTGGCTGGACCTGAGATGGTCATGGAGAGCCCTGCAGATCACAGATCCAGCAGGGTGGCCTTGAAAGGGGTCTCAGGCTGAAACATCAGGAGTGCAGTGAGGCAGGGCAGAGCAGCACCAGCAGAGATACACAGAGGTTGCATGATCCTGAAGTGAAGGAGACTGAGCTGAACGTCTGGGAGGAAAACCTATGGCCAGGTTGTGGGAGCAGAGGGTGATGAGATGGGCTCTGTGCAATGGGTCTCAGTAGGGACACATCCTTTCTGGCTGCTGGTTGGCTCTTTCTGGTTTGCAGTGTGTGTGAGGGCTCTTGTGTTCAAACCTGTGTTTGTAGCATGGGCACTCGAGAAGCTCTGAGCACACTACCAGGGCAAAAGGTAGAAAGCACCCCTCAGGCCACCGTTGTGCAGTTGTTGTGCAAGCACCCCCCGAGAGTGTCACTGTAACACCCCTCCAAAGCCAGACCCTGGAGTTTATTTCATTCCCCTCACTTTGACAGGCCACTTCCACTGTGTTATTTAATGGAAAACATTTGGCTTTGCATTTTCCCAGAATAAGGCTGCTGTTAAGTGCACCCAATCAGCAAAATGATGTTCTTCAGCTCAGGCACGGTGCTCTGCAGCACGCAGATGCCACTGAGTGAGACCTGTTGTTCTGCTCCTCCTGCACCCACCAGCACTCCCTGACCTTCCTAGTTAGCTGAATATCTTTTGCAACCCACCTTCCCATTACCTCTGCTGCTCTGGTGTAGGAGAGCTCCGCAAGCTCCAGTAAAAGGTCCTTTGTGTATAATTCCTGCTTCTACCTTGCATTACAGCTCCCTGTTTAAATGAATACCTGTTCTGCATGGTTTTGACATATTTGCCACTCTTAGTCTAGAGGAGCCTGCTCAAAGCACGTTGTAGTGCAGGGCCAGCCCAATGTCCCCAGGGAAAGGGCATGGCTGGGGCAGCAGGGCTGACGTTGGGGCTGGGAGGATCATCTGAAGGATTTCAAGGGCAGGCTGGTTGTGGTGTGTCATGATGGGTCCACGCCACCCCAGAGTGCAGTGCTCTGTGCTCAGGCTGGCTCCAAAGAGTGGACACCATCACCTGAGAAGGACCATACCAGGGTATCCGAGAGGTTATGGGGAAGATTTAAATAGTTCTGGAGAGGAGTAGCTAGAAGAGGCTTGGCAGAGAAGCGGACCGGTGTGTGGTGCCCTGGTTCTGTTTTCTCATGTGTTTCTTTTCTCTTTCTCTCCTCCTCTCCAGGGGTTCTTGCTTGTGGCGGGCATGGCAGAGTACATCCCCCAGCCTCCCTCCACCTGGCCCGCGGGCCCTCAGCCCCCCAACGCCTCCACCAGCTGCCCACTGGAGCCTGTGGACCTGGGGGTCTCGGAGCAGCAAACGCCGCCAGAGCAGCCCCCATCCTCCCCAGAGCTGGGCGAGGATGAAGAAGCCACCTCCCCGCCAGATCCCGACGTCCCCTACCCCGACTTGGCCCCGGTTGTCTTCTTCTGCTTGAAGCAGACCACCAGCCCTCGGAACTGGTGCATCAAAATGGTGTGCAACCCATATCCTTTCCAGGCTGCCTCTCCTCCCGTCTCACCTCCCGCTCCCTCCTGCCCTGTCCCTCCCCTCTCCCTGCCCACCTGGGACACCTGCCAGGTAAGCAGTGAAGTTTCCTTCATATGTAATGAATCATTTTGTCCATGGCTTGCATTTAAACAGAACATCGGCTGTTGCAATGTGTGTTCAAAAGAAGCTGCTTATGAAAGAAGGGACTTCAGAGAGAGCTGCTGACAGCCTGGATTGCAGAGGGATGAGTGGGGGAGAAGGAGAAATAGGGAAAAGTGCTGTAAAAAGGCCTTGTCTTCCCCTTCCCCACACACAGAGACAGAGAGAGGAGCTGCTGGCTCAGGAGCTTGTGGGCAGGTCACCATGAACAGACAAGGTGTCCCCCTCCTCTGGGCATACACAGTTAGTAAGAGTTGAGCTTGCTCTTTGCAAGGAACCACCACTCCTCAACCTTGCAAGGTACTACGGTGACCAATTGTGTTTCCCACAAGCAGACATCACTGTCCTGGAGAGGTCTCGTCATGATTTCTGGCCATGAATGAAGTGGAGGACATATTAACAAGCGTGGTGGTGAGCCTCATACATCCTTTGGGACGTGATTACATCCTTCCCATGCAAGGGAGGCCGCTAATCACACACACATGTCCCCATTCAATCTCGGTGCCTTGGCTGCAAGGGAGCCCTGCAAACGATAGGCACCTACACAGCTAATTAGTACCAAGGTCGCTAGGTAGTAACGATATAAAAAGCAGGCGGAGGGCAATTGTTGCTCTTTGGATTGTGGGACCCTTCAAAGTGGGAGGAAGTGGAGGAGATGATGAATCATCAGAGAGGTTGGTCTGAAATTTTACATAAACCTTTTTCTGGCCAGAAATCTCATGTGGTGGTGTTTTTCTTTTTTCCCCCCTGGAAATTTCTTAGCTCCAAGTTAGGTGGCTGTTATACATAAAGATGGTTTTTGGTTTTGATGTATCAATTGCTAGGTTAAATCTGAGTGTCTGGTCACACAACAAAGACTTGCAAAATATTGTTAAGAGACTTCTCAGGATGAGGAGCTAAACCCCGAGTGAAGTCTGGAGGTGCAGTTAGCAGATGACCTTAGATGGCTGATGAATCTGGAGATTTGTTTGAACTTCAAACGCAGTGAAAGGTTTGGGTTTCAGATCTGAACTCTTGTCTTAAATTTCAGAAGCTCTTAAAAAGGTTTTACAGTCTCAAGCACAGGTTATGACAGAATTTGTTGGAGATTTAGGGTTTCTACTTTCCTTTCTACTGGTTGCTCCTTAAAATTTTTAAACTTTGTACTGAATTATGCATTACTTTTCAATTACTGTGTGGCTGTGCTAGCTCTGTGTCCTGGGAATCCTGTCCCAGCGTGTGGTGGGCTCAGAGTAAAGCATGAAAGATTACTGTCCGTGAAAAGACTGCACTCAGAAGATGATAGAAAAGTAGTAGGCCACGTTTGGGATGATGATTTATTTGCTTTTGAGGAAGAAGGCTGTTGGGGAAGAAAAGCATCCATGTTTCTGGCTAAAAATAAATCAATCTAAACAATCCCTGCAGTTTGGTACATAATTTGGAGTTTGTTTTTAATATCCTAGAGTTGTGTTACTCAAGGAGCTTAGCACAGTATGCTTATCTTAGCGTTTAAGGGTACATGCGTGGTGCTTGACTTTGAAAAGGACTGTTTCATAGCAGATGCTACAGAGGGGAGGAACAAGCCTTGCTTGGTCACCTGTTGATGACTTTCCACCTGGCCATGTGTGACACAGGTGTGAAGGGTTGTGGTGGGGCTGCTGGAAGCCTCTTGGAAGGATTGCTTCATGAATTTTCGCCCAGGGTTGCTGGGTGAATTTAGGAGATTATTTGTAAGGCAGAGACTGAGTGGAGAGGATTCTGCTCCTCTGTTTTTTTTTTCCCCTCTTATAGAGGACTGTAAGAGGAATGGATCATGTACGAAGTAGTTCCCATATTTATCTTTTTTTAAAGAGGGAGTGTTTCTGCAACCTCAAGTTTTCTTGCAAGTAAATATATGCTCTCGGCATCACAATTTTATTGACAACATTGTATAAAACATACAGTTCCGTGATCTGGCTGCAAATCACTCCTCATGGTCTTATCCCCATGAGGAAACGAGCCCCTTTGTAAGGGATGCTTCTATGAAAGTCAAATACCTTCAAAGAATTTCTGCCAAGAATGCCTGCTTTTTTCCTATTGTGAAGTTTTTCACCCCTGTTATGTTGGGCTATTAACTCCATGAGACTCTTGTGCCAGGCAGAGGCAGGCTGACTCACCATGGCAGAGCAACACCTGACCTTTCCTGAAAACTCAGCAGAAAAGGGGGGACATTAATTAAAAGCCTGTTAATCTTCTCATTGGCTTTCTACTAGGGCAGAGCTTCGTGATCATTATGTTTGGAAGTACTGTCAATGAGACTTAAAATGGAAGCTCTGATCATTAAGGGCTATGTAGTAATTTTTGTAAGCACGAGGTCATTAACCACCAAATTTCAATTTAGGTAATTGCATTCCACCTATTTAAATCCCCCTCCCCTGAAGATAATTTTTTCTTCCATGAGCAGTCCTGCAATTTTGTTATGTGCTATTAAACAACTGCCATACTCCTTTGCTGCAGTGCAGTAAGAGGAAGGGGGAAAAAAACAAACTTGTGTCAGTGCTTTAAAGTCACTTCTGGTTGTGTATTAGTGTATAATGTGATGCTTTTGGAGAAAAAAAAATCTTAATTTCATTTTATGATACGGAATTTGTTCCATGTGAAATTGGTGATGTTTGCCCCCCATAGAGTATTTACTGGGCTTTTAGGTGATTACACGTTTCTGGGATGGTTTTATGTGCAGTGTGAAAGAATGTTTGAATTGCCCTAGTTTACTGAAAAGCAGACTTTTTTTTTCCAAAAAATCCTGATTAACCTTGTTAGATGCAGGTAACTGCTGTGTAATCAGCTGGGCGTGTGATGTGATGCTCACCTGGAGCTGGCCTGGTTCATGGCAAATGTGCTGGTCTTGGAGGGACGCTAGGCTTGCTGCAGCATGCTAAAAATCCAGCCTGGTCACAGAACAGTTTATTTGGGTTGATCTCTATTTTCTGTTTTGATGAACAGAAACAAGACTGGCTGCTCTGAATTGCAGATTGCGGGGCTGTTGCAGCCGAAATGTTAACAGTCAATATTTGAAATATGGCTTGGAGAGAGCAGCTGCAAGAATTTTTTTCCTTATGTAAAACCTAAACTCCACGTCAAATAGGATTTCAAGCTGAGGTTGAAGGGGAAATAGGGTGAAAAGTGTGAAATGTGTTTCCAAAACAACTGTGTAGCATTCATCTTATGAATTTATAAAATGTTTGGAACTAAATAAAGGCCATGCCACATGGTGCTTTACAAATGGATCCTGATGCGCTTTGCAAATTATGAGAAGATGATGGGAGAGATGCTTGGAAATCTGCGTCTCTGCTTGACTTCTTGGGGGTTCCAGCGAGACTTCATGCTTCACCCATCATAGGGTCAGAAGTGATAGATTCGGTTTGTCCTTTGAGTCTTTCATTAAAAAACTCTTTCCAGGAGGCCTAGACCTCCCTTTGCGGTCATATCTATAATATTGACATGACAGCAAGAGCAAGAATGAAGTATGCCATTAAAAAAAATCAATGCTAAAACTGTAGCAGTAACGAGAGAGCAGCTTGCTGCTCAGTCATTTTCTTGCTTTTTGTTGTATACCAGTCCCCTTCCCTCATTTGTAAAGTACGTTGGTCTTCTGGGTTTCTGTTCTGCTCTCATGCAGAAAAATGTTGCTTTCAGCTGATTTCCATGGTCTAGGAGCAGGAGGTCAGGCCTCCAGTTATGCAACAGATGATGTCCACGCTTAATGTTTAGTACTGGTGCCTGTTTTATAGGATCAAAGCAGGGTGACTCCTCAGAGCTGGTAGGACTGCTTATGTGTACTGAGGGGCTGTCCCATAGCTCACTAACGATTCTCCGAGAAGGGGCTTTGTTATCTTATGCGGCTCTAAATCTGTTAATAAGCTTCTGGGGCTACCTTTATTATAAACTGTCAGCCTGAGCTACATGCTTGGTGAAACAGTGAACCAGCCTTGGGCACGTTGATGGGAGAGCTGGGGGAAACCCACAGGTTCAACCCCTGGTGCTGCAGGCGTTACGCCCGCACGAGCAAACGGAGTGCAAAATGGTTGCAGGTTGCGATAGCGGTGGCTCCTGCTGGTGCTGCCCTGCGTGAACTGAGCAGAAAATCAAATGCCAGAGGAGCGAAGGGAGTGATGTGTGCGTGGGTCAGTAATTGGTACTTCTCCTGGAGATGTTAAGGAGGTGCTGTGGTGCATGGGGACACCGCTGCTGCAGCCAGCGCCTTTCAGGCTGAGGGGCTGACAAATCTTTTGCTTATTAATAAGCTTATGGTGCATAGGTGTGTTACGTTACAGTTGGAGCAATTTGTTCTGTGAAGGAAGGGAAATTTCATCTGCAGTTTCTGTAGTGTGTTGTACCTGTGTTTTTCTTTTTTTTTTTTTTTTTTTTGCCATAAGCTGTTGCCTAGTGTGCTGTTAAACCCTGCCTGCAATCTTTATAACAAATGGATGGAGGTAACTAATAAGCAAACACCTGCTGCAAATTTATTGCCACTCTTGTAAGAGTTGATGTCTGACTTAAGGCTTGAGCTCCTGTAATCCTCTGATTAGGTTTACTTCTCTTGTTACATGTTTGCTTCTATTTATATATGTGTATATAGATGCTTAATTTTCAATTTTACATGGTTATATGTATACAATTTATATAGCTAAAATATTATATACTTAATTTTTAATTATACATATACACAAACAAAAAAGAAAGATTCCTACCTCTCTAGTAGGTGGAGGAAAGCCTGAAAATGTGACCAGAAGGTATAACAATGCATCAAAATTTGAGTGTCTTATGAATTTTAAGCAGGATTCATCATTCTTGAGGACCTAGGGATCATGGCTTTCCA